ACCTATGTATAAAGAAATGGGTATTTTGGGGCAATGTTTCTCTTATTTTTCTGTTGTGCCTGTCATGAGTATGGTTATTTCCATACTGATTTTACAGAGATGATTTTCTTTAATTAAAAACCTTCTTTTTAAGAACCTGATTGATTTTTTCCTTGTTTTAGATCCCAGGGGGGTTGGAACTGGGGTATTCACCAGGAGTTGGTGGGAGGAAGGAGGGGAATGGTTAATTTCTCCTTGTTTTAAGATCCAAGGGGTTTGGATCTGTATTCACCAGGGAATTGGTGAAGGTCTCTCAAGGCTACCCAGGGAAGGAAATTAGCCTTGGGATGGTGGCAGCGGACCAGAGCTAAGCTGGTAGTTAAGCTTAGAAGTTTCCATGCAGGCCCCTACATTTGTACCCTAAAGTTCAAAGTGGGGATACAGCCTTGACAACATTGGAGGCCATAGCATGTACTGAAAACACAGAAGCACCCCTGGTTGCATCAGCTATGAATGCTGAAGGCACTAAGATGTTCATTAACTCTGAACCTAACTGAAGTGATTTCTTGGCTGTTTTTGGCCAGTCTGACTCCTAAACAGTTTGTCCAGGTGAGTACTGCTCTTGCAAAACATGGTGCTGCAGCAGAAGCCTTCAGAGAGGAAGATGAAGCCTCATTATGGCATAGTGATATTTCCAGTCTGCAGTCATTGGGTTCTTTTGGGGAAAAAGTCCCTCTCCTTTGGGACAGCAATGACTGACTAGTTCCAGTAAACTGTCTCTCTTCCCACAGTAGACAGAGCAATCTGCTTTTTGCTATGGTGCATGCTGTAGAATTTTTTTGGCATGCCTGGACAATCTCACAGACTTTGTTGGTGCTTCCCATTCAGCCTTAATTACCTTCCCCCAAAAGACACGAAGGGGAACGTGTGGTTCAGATTTTGAACAAGTTGGGGAAAAAACTTTTGTAATTTCTATAGGTTTCAGAGTAACAGCCGTGTTAGTCTGTATCCGCAAAAAGAAGAACAGGAGTACTTGTGGCACCTTAGAGACTAACAAATTTATTAGAGCATAAGCTTTCGTGGACTACAGCCCACTTACTAGTCCTCTCTTCTTCCACCACAATTTTTTTTCTCACTAACTCATCCGACTGAATACCCAAGTATCTAATCAGCTTTTGTAACTTCATCTCAGATAATTCAGTTGGCAAAAGATCCTCTTGCTTCACTTCATCCTGCAGCTCAGACTCTGAGACTGAATTAACCTTCCTCTTGTGAAGATCATCCTAACTTTCCTCTTGACTTCTTTATTCCTCTCTTGGACTTAGGTTGAACAGATTTTCTAGCTTTTTTTTTTGGACAATGCTCAGAATGAAAACGAATTGGAGGAGGAAGATGAAAAAGAACCAGATGTAAACAATTTATATTTCTTTTACTATGCTTTTTCTTTCCACGTATAACATCTTGTGAAGAGAGCCATTAGCTCTGGCACTCTCTGGTGATGAGTCAGAGGAATTGCGGTCCATAGAAAAACAGGTCAGTTTTCTCCTAAGTTTGAGGTAATTTCTTGAACCCCTTTCTCCTTTAATTTTCACTCCTTAGGGGAGGTGACACTAGGAACCTGAGTCAGATGAAGAGCCCTGCAAAACTCTTCTGTTAACAGGCATCTATTTATCTTTGCCCTTTTGAGTGTGGACAGAATCCCTGTAAGGGACACTGCAGCTGTTTCCTGGGGCTCACAAGATGGCAGCCTCTACAGTAAAGGTATTTTTCATGCCAAATCCAAGAGCTCCATAGCCTAAGAGGGAATTTCTTCCTGAAGGAGATTCCTATCTTCTCCTCCTCTCCATGCAGAATTCCGGACTTCCCCTAGGGCTAAGGAAAGGAGACCAAATTGCCTGACGGGAGAGGGTGGGACTGATGAGACATGCACTGTGGGAGGGCATACACACAAATGGCCTTTTCGGCCACTCCATGCTCTGCCCATGGCAGATTCAGCTGGTCCCGCTTATGGTTTCCCTGTGCCAGGCTGCTACCCTGATGTAACTGCCTCTGGTTGCTGAAGGGCCATCCTTCAAGACATTTGCAACCTGGCTATCAGACTCCTTGCTGGTGGGGAACTCCTGGATCAGGATAAGGCAGACAAAACAAAACCTTTCCAACCCAGTGAATGAGGCAGCTGCACCAGGCACAAACTTCTCCTTTTGCAGCATTTGGCAGGAATACAGAGCAGGAGGAACACAGCCTTGCTCAGTTTCCTGTTTGGACCTTTCTTGTCCAACCTCTTAGCCTGCAACCTGAATAGTTGGGGGATAGGAGGCAACAACTGTGACAATTCCAGACAGGAGACAACTTGTGTCTTCAGATTTTTCTTAATTCTGTCTCTTACAAGCAATGCTGATACCACAGACCCGCCAATAGCTATAGGAGGGGGGGGGGGAAATGAGGGGAACTCCAGAAGGTGGGGGCTAGTCCCTCAGCTATCCAATCAGCTTTGATTTTTCCCCCTACAGCTACAGACAGGCTATGACTCACAATGAGGATCTGTGGACCAGACCTCAAGAGAGAGGAAGTCAGATTTTGTATGCTTCTCCTAGAGCTGCTGTAATGACCAATAAGTTTTCCTTTGATGATTTTACTTGAGAGGGAGACAAGACAGGGATGCCTGCTTTCTCCCTTACTCTGACATTGCTAAGCAATTTACTTGAGTCACTTGCTCTTCAGTCCTTTGAGAGTTTTCAGGCAGACAGTCACTCAGAAGTCAATCTTATATGCAGCTGCTGCTGCTATGACAGCATGTCATCTCTTGAAATATCCACTTCAAATTTAAGACAAACAACTGACCAATTAGGTCAATTTTCAACTTTCAAAATTCATTTTCTTACATTAGAAGTATTATCTATGTAAACCTGATCCTCTATCCTGGCAAGCATTTTCTCCTTTTTCAGTGCAAGTAAAATGGCACCCTCTACCTAGATGTCTCCACTCCAAGTAGGTTTTCCACTCTGTGCTCTTGCAACTTTGTTCAGTGCTTAATAAAATTAAAAATGACCTATTAAGATAGTTCCCTCTTCCCTCTCTGAGTGAAAATTACAATATTCCCTAGATATAGAGAGTTTACAGTAAATGGTGTATTTGTTTCTAACTGGAGGGAGATCTTTGACTTGAAGACAGAGAACATAGCTGTCATCTGCCATGACAGATATCCATGTGTGTTTTAACAGACTTCAAACAGTCTAAAATGAGAGATGCCTTGTATTTCTCTGTCTGATTATACATGTGTCAGCTCTGTTTTATAAAACACTGGCTGGGAGATAAGGAAATTTATACTTTTCTATGTAGTGAAGAGAGGTTTACTTTTCCCGACCCAATTGTCTAATTCCCTTTTTTGAAAGCACATCATCAACTTAAATCCTTTATTCAGAGCCCCTATATGGATTTGGAGAACCTTAAGTAACTTGCGAGGTAAAGTAGCTCTCTCACCAGTGTTACTTGTTTATAATAATTATGTTTCCCCTAAACTTGGCCGGCCCAGCTAAATTATGAAGGTATGCAGGAATTAAATACATTCCTTATGTTTTAGTTCATCCACCAACCTCTGCCATACCTCTAATCTGTCTTGCACTAATTTTTTTTAAACAAATGACAGAGTAAAATCTTGTTAAATGGCTGTAACATTTCTAAAAAAAAAAAAAACCCACACACCACACACAACAGCCATACAAGAGACTGTATAAAGTAAGTCAGAGTCTATATATCATTCCAACTCACTCTCTGTAGTACATCCGTTGCCGGATCTAGACCACGCTGTTTAAAATACAAGAAAGGGATTGCTAACTGCTATGCTACTGGTATAAGTTTGCACAGAGGCTTTCTCCACACGTTATTTTATAACTAACTGTTGAAGTGTGGTTATTCCAGATCTCCCACTCTTAATACTGCTGAGTGATCTCAACTTTAACTCCCTGGCCGCCTTCAATAAGAAGGGGTATGAACTTGGGTTTTATGAGGCCAGAAAGGATATCTTACATGTTGGGCACAGGAAGATATCAGTTATTGCTGTGAAGATCTATGTTGTTAAATCTCCTGTATACAATTAAACTCTCACGTTCTCTTTGAGGGAGAAAAAGCGTGGAAAGTGTGTCTGTGGTATGGAGCAAAACCTGAATTAATTTGCAGAAATACTTAAAAATTTGCTGAACTTTTTGTGCACAAATTGTGTGGGAGATTTCCTATAATTTACTTTGAAAGACTGGTAACATTTTTCTTTTGTAAGTTTCAGAAGTACATGCTGAATGACTGATGAGGAGTTAATACAGAGAAGCAATTGTTCTAGAGTTCTTTATAAATAAATATTCTGATATGAACTGGGTATGTGTAAGAGTGATTTTTTTCCCCATTTATTTAGAGAAGTGTACGGAGTGCTAAAACAAAAATGCTAGGGTCAAGGTATCTAAAATAGTCTTGTTAACTGGTTATATGGATACTTGAATGTTCTGGATGCTTGCTATACCCACCACTAGATCTGTGAACCAATAATATTTATTTTAAAAGCCAAAAATAGTGAATATACTTTACGCATCCTTCATGGTATTCCAGAAGTCTAAAATCAAATAAACAAACTCCCAAAAGAGAGACTGCATTAGTCCATCCCTCCCTTGCACAGAAGAAAGCTGCAGGTAAATGTAGACTGGTAGATGCTATCTTTTCTTCATGTAATTGTGATTCTCCTAATGATCTTTGTCTTCTAGTCAGTTTGCATAAACTTCATGTTCAAGACTGAAACCATCACATATCTTTGGAGAGTAAAAAAAGTGAATTCTACTGTTCTAGTTAATGAAACTTTCACTATTATGATTCCAATTATAATTGAGGGAAAGCAAGCTAGTAAACTTTTTTTAAACCAAGTACTTTAAAACATTACACACCTGAGCACAACTGTTTCTGCAGAGTTTCTTGTAGATCTGATCGATAGCTACTGAAACATGCTCAAAACACTGGCTGAAACGCTCGTATCTTCTTTTTTTCATCTGTTCAAATTCTTGCCTACATATCCTGGCTTCCCTTCTGCTGGTCTCAAAAGCTATGAAAGAATAAATTGAACTAACTTTAGCTTTGCAGAAAGTGCTCAATAATAAGCTTAAAATTAGTTTAATTCTCTTAGTAATCCCTACCTTAGCTAATAAGCATTTTACTAGAGAAATCTGTTTTGCAACATAAACGGAAAACAGCTTCAGTGCATATATGAGCAACATGGCAATGTCCTAAGTTTGCTCCCAGAGCTCAGCTACCGAGACTGAAAACCTAGAAAATTGTTTGGATGTTTCCAGTTTTCCCTACACAAGACCAGACTGATGTGTGAAGAGAAGGAGCTCTGCCTGAGCACAGGTTTTTCAGTTGTATATTTAGATTGGATAAACTCTATAGCAGTTTATAAGGCTATATTTAGGTGTGGCAGTGGTATTCCTTGCCCTCTCAGTAGTGTGCTACTTACAGCATGCCACTAATTTTGCAGTAATGTTGGTGTTTGAGCTCCAGAAAAGATATGGTAACTGGTACATGGATTGCTGCTTCTAAGGAAATTAGCAGAAAATTCTTAGCAAATCAGTCATCTCTGAAATGTAATAAACCTTTTATCAAGGAATATACACTATACCTTGCTTACAAAGATATTTTTGGTGAAGATACAAACAGAATTAATGATGGAACACAAAGTTTTAAAGAAATAATTTGGAATAAGATGCAACATTTTATAAATAAGATTTTTAATATGAAATGGCAGTATAAAAGTGTAACTAAGGAAAAACACAGGGCCTCTAGTAGTAAGTCTCTGACACAAACACAAAGGAAATACTCAAATACGTGAAAGGTGTAAAAAAAAAAATTGGACCAGTTCCAGCATAATGATTATGCAGGATGGAAAACTTTCACAGAAATGGTTAATAATAAGGAAGATTCATGTTACCATCTACTGATTCTTGGAACTTGTCCTTAGCAGTCTGCAATTTCTCCAGTGCTCTTAGGTTTGGTGCAGCTGTTTTGAATAAAACATTTTCTTTGGATACTATTTGCTGCTGCAGTCGTGTCAGATGAGCCTCAATCTCTTTATCAGACTGTAGGTCCTAAGCAGAAGACAAAAAAAGTCATAAAAGGGGATTACTTGCCAATAGAATCAGCAGGCTCCCGGACAAGAGGATCCTATACAAACTGGTTCACCACAGATGAAAATATATCATGGTCCCTTACATCAGGACACGGTAAGCAAAAATAGCAGCTGAACAGACCTTGGCAATAGTCAGGAATAATCTTAACATTAAAAAAAAAAGCCCAAGATAATTTAAATTGAAATAAAATGGACAAGAAGCATGGTCAAAGGCCTCTGCCTTGAGAAAACCTTTTAAAACACATTCCATCTGGCAGCATGACACCCCTTAGCAGAGAGGTCTGGTCTCTTAATATTCTGCCTTGACTTCCTTAGACAGGCCAAGACATCCCATCATATAAGGCTTAAGCCAAACCGTTCTGTTATGTGAGTTCTGGGTGATCTACCCTGCCATTCTGCTGCAGAAGAAGAATTTCTGATACCATAAAAGTGCTTTCCTTTGCTCTATTTGAAGAACTAGGTAGGATCTTTAGCCCTCAGAACCAATTCTGATTGTTCCTGAGCATCTTTATAAAAGACCTTTACAAAACAATGACCAACTCCTTTGAGCCTGGTATTTTGAAGCAGACTGGGGTAAGGATTAGCAGCCACATTGCTTGTGCATGGGGAGAATTTTTTAGGAGATGCTCTTCCAACTCACTACTACAGATTCTTGCAGTAGCAGTTGTGGAAAAAATTTTTGGTCCTTTGGGGCAGGGCCTTGCAGGTATTGCAGCTTTGCCTGAGCATATTTCCCTGAGACATAAAACACCCTTTTTGTGCTGATGTACAGTAGGAAATATAGTGGGACAAGAAAAGTATCTTAACTCTTATCATCCACAGATTGGTCATCTTGAACAAGAACTTAAAAAAGACTGAGTGCATATTACACTCAATGATTTAAGCCACTCCACTTAACTATTTACAACTCTTTCATGAAAACTACAGGATGGAGAAAGGGAAAGTCTGATTCTGCAACCTCTCCAGCAGATGAACAGATGATCCAAAGGATTGTTACAGAAGACAGAGTATTTATACCCTTGGTCTATAGCTTTGGCTCTCAACCTTTCCAGACTACTGTACCCCTTTCAGGAGTCTGATTTGTCTTGCGTACCCCCAAGTTTCACCTCGCTTAAAAGCTACTTGGCTTACAAAATCAGATATAAAAGTGAGACAGTATGCTATTACTGAAAAATTGCTTACTTCCTCATTTTTATCATATAATTATAAAATAAATCAATTTGAATATAAATATTGTACTTACATTTCAGTGTATAGTATATAGAGCAGTAGAAACAAATCATTGTCTGTATGAAGTTATAGTTTGTACTGACTTCACTAGTGCTTTTTATGTAGCCTGTTGTAAATCTAGGCAAATATGTAGATGAGTTAAGGTACTCCCTGAAAGACCTCTGTGTACTGCCAGGGGTACATGTACCCCAGTTGAGAACCGCTGGTCTATGGAATGCAAGACTCCGGGGAATTGACACAAGGCCCTTATCTGCCAAACACTACTCTTGAAAGTTCTGTGGCCAGGTATGCGACTTCTATTGCAGGGCCTCATGAACAGTATTTGGTCCTGCCATGCGGGCAGGGGACTGGACTCGATGACCTCTCGAGGTCCCTTCCAGTCCTATAATCTAATCTAATCTAATCTAATCTATGAATGCAGTAGTATGAAGGAAAATTACAATTTCTGTTCTTCCTCCATTAGATTTGCACTTTACAAAAACTTTAAATTATAGAATGTAGTTAAGTGGAATATTCTGATCGATAAAATGCATATAGACTGCTAAAAAGTCAGGATGTCTAACAGGAAATGGCTGCTGTCAAATCTCAAACCTACCAGTTTTCAGTCAAAACATTTGGTTAAGATTATGCTGAAGAATGCATGAAAGCTTCATTCTATAGTACTATAAAGAAAAGAAAAAAAAGAAAATAAAGGGTCTCACCGTCAGATCATCTGTTAGACTGCTGTAGTCTATCTGAATTGCTCTCTCTCTTTCATAAATATCTGCAGTAGCCTCAGTGCTTTCTGCTTCAGTTCCCAGCTGTAACAGAGATGAAGGGCTTTTCAGTTCAGAAATATAGTGTTCTTTTTAACAACTAAAAAGAACGAAGTCTACACGACATGGAATGAGAGAGAAAAATGGAGCAACTTTTCCTTTTCTAATTTATTTAATACACTTCTGTAATCAAACGTTATGATTTACTAGTTGATTAGGAAGAAGTATTAATAGTTGAAAATGCTGTCTTTCTATGAACTTTGAAGAATCCAACTATTGCAGGTGTGGTGTTAACATGAAAGCAGAAGTGCATTTGTCCAGAGTGCACTTAGAATGGACTAATACCATTTCTGGTCTGTCAGACTGGGCTTTCCAGGGAGTTTTTAAATCCCCCTTCAAAAAAGGCTCCTAGAGATATTAGTCAATAGAAAAAAGACGGTTGCTCACCGTTGTAACTGTTGTTCTTCGAGATGTGTTGCTCATATCCATTCCATTAGGTGTGCG